GCATCAATCAGAAGAGCGAAAAATCTTCTCTCTAGTACAGAGAAATGATGTTACTGCCATAGCAATCTCTGGTGGCAGTGGCTCTTTACAGCATATAGGATATTACTACTTTGCCTTGATAGAGAATGCTTTTTATCCAAAGATCTCTAAACAGGCTTTAATGAATTAAGCCTGGTAACACCCCTGTGACACGGTAGGTATTGCGCACATTTAACTGATGGGCAAACAGACAGAGGAGTTAATGCTTTGGCAGGAATAGGATTTTAGATGTCCTATTCCCAGTTCCCTTCTCTGCTCCAAAGATTGCTGTATCTTAGATATGACTATGATGTACATAATCTGTTTTGTGTACATTTAAATACACATTTTGTGTACATTTAAGGATACATATTTTTCATGCCTGGATAAATCACAAGGGCAAAGAATTAAGTTGCGAGGTGGTTGATGGTATTGTTCTTATAAATGTAAAATACTGCTGTGTCTGTGACTTGGCAGCATCAAGAGGCATTTATCTGGGAAAACTCAACAAAGCAACAAAAAAAACCCCAGCCTACTACAAATCATGTACTCCTACATCAGTCCTGCCTCGTTTGTCTATTGATTATGTTAATAACATGAAAATAAGATTTTTTAAAAATGAGCAATGCCGCCATAATGTTTAAAAAAAATGAGTTTAAGCTGATCATCAAGTTTAAAAAGAATAAATATTAGGTTCTGTCTGTTTATCTTTTTGTTTCTGAGCCTTGAGCATTTGCATTCTTGAGCTCTTCTCATGAATGGTGAGCGATGGTGGTGTGCAAACACATACGTACATGCATAGGGCCAGTTCTTATTCATGGTACGGTAAATATATTCTTTGGTGACCGATGACCCCTGTAATTGTGCACCTCTTAATATGTGCACACAGTGTCATTCTCTACAACATGTTTGCAGAACAGGTTATAGCAAACACAGCGCATATGGTTGATTAACTTAATACAGAACACACCGGCCTTTTATGCCCTATCTTATCTGCAGTAGGACTAGGATTTCTCACTTTACACTGCCTCTCCTAAAACGCTTTGAGAACCCTTGAAATTCTCCACTCAACAGGTGAAATCTTTCTTGGGCGTATGATCAATATTTGAGGTACCTTAATTACCTCTCTGATATTTCTAGCAGTGAAATGATTCGGTTACCAGTTTGTTGGTTAACAATACGGGCGTATCTATATCTGACTTTAGCCACTGTCGTTCAAGCTAAGTAGAGAGGTTCAAAAAGCCCGAGGCGGATTTGATTCAATCTTCGCAGGTTAGTTTAAGCTACATAGCCTGAACTGATAACAAACTGAACTGATGTTCAGTGTTTGGGTGGCCAAGACAGGCAGAAGCCTGCCAGGAGCCTGGGGGTACTCATGCGCACCACCCCTCATGCCCAGCTGCCTAAGGGCGCATCTACACATGCACTTGAATGCACATTAGCCTATTTTAATGCACATTAAAAGTGTCATAAAAAACCCACGCACTTTCACTAATGGGCATTAAAATAGGCAAATACACCTTTTTCTAATACCTCACAATGGAGGTGCTAAACTTATTGCGCATTACCAAAAGTGCTTTAAATGAACATGTAAACACTCCCTAAGACTGCTAAACCCAGTCCAGTGGCAGCCCAGGTATGACTGGTTGCTGGATGCAAGCCAGTCCCACACCCCTCCCTCCCCCCCATAGCTGCAGGGAGGGGAGAGCCAGCAGAAAATCTCTCCCTACTGCCTGCCTCTGAGAGGGGGCTCGGGAGGGGGAACACACCACCTGGCCCTGCTCTTCCAGCTGGGGTCTGCTTGGCACAGGAAAAGCCCCCACTCACTCCCCCGCACCGACTGGCTAGCAGGGCTCTGTTTGGCTCATTTCTGCCCCTTCCCCAGCCCCACGTCTATAGGGGAGGAATGTGTGCACACCCGGCCCAACATCAACCCCCACAGCCAGGGTCTGCCTGGCGTGGGGGAAAGACCCCATTGGGGGTTTTTCACTCCCCCACAGCCCAGCTCACTGGGCTCGGATCAGCTAAGTCCATTCCCCCCCAACCCCAGATCCCGCCTATGAGAGGTGGGGGATGGGCAGGGTGAACACACCGCCCCCCCATCTGAGGTCTGCCCGATGTGAGGAGGGAAAGCCCCCACTGGGGGCTTTTTGTAAACTTGCAGACCGATGAGATGGACGGGCATTGGCTTAGGCCCACCCACACCCTGGGAGGCGGCTGAGCTATTCCTTGCCTGGCTCGCCAGGCTCTGGGGTTACAAAAAGCCCCAGTGGGGTCTTGAATGCACCAGCTTGGCCCCCTCCTACCTGGGGTCTGCTTGGCATGTGGCAGTGAAAGTTCCCACCAGAACCCAGCTGGGAGAACCAGTGCCCGGCTTGGGTGGTGCATTCCTCACCCCAGTGCATTTTCCTCCCCAGGAAGAGAGCTATGAAGGGAGCGGGGCTGAACCCATGCCACCCAGCAACCTGGGCTAGGGGGTGGGGGGCAGGGCTGAACCAACCCCAGCCCGGCTCACCTGACTGCAGGGAGCAAAAATCTGTCAATGGTGACTTTCCACCTGCACAGGCAGACCTCCAGTTGTGGGGGCTGAGCCAGTGCATTCCCCCTGCTCCCCCCACCCACAGGCTGGGGGCTGGGGAGGAGGCAGGGCTGAACTGATGCCAACTCTGCTCACCTGGCTGCTGCAGGGGCAAAAAGCCCACTGCTAAGGATTTCCTTCCCCTTGTCCTGTACAGGTGAGGGCTAGGGGGATCTGGGGGTCTGTGTCCTTGCCCCCCTCTTCCTGCTGGGATACCAAGAGCTGGCAGGGAGCAGAGGCTTTAGTGATAGCTGGGGTTAGGGCCAGTTCTTCTCCACTGGAGCAGATAGCATAGCCTGGGGTGCAAAACATCCTGGGATGCTGGGGGACTGTGACTTAACTTGAATCGGGAAGAGATCTGGGACAGACACTCCATAAGCCAGTTTAACTTAAATCAGTTAAGTCTGATACTACGTCTAACCAGATTTATCTTAAACTGGTTTTGGCCATTTTGGAAGCAGTTTATGCACCCTGAACTCCTGTTCTGTTACACATTTAAGCTAGTTTCAGATCACTTAAACCAGTTTATGTGCAATTTCTGTCCCTAGCCTATGAGTGTGTCATCATCAAGAACGGTGGTACAGTAGTGGACGCAGGTGAGTCAAGCTGGTGGGTGTGCAGATGTCCAGGCAGGGCTACGTGTAAGAAGTACCTTATGTCACACAATTCATTCTATCGCTCTGTGAGTTGGTGTGGTAGCTGCTGCCTCCCTTCACCTATGGATATCATTACAGATGAGTCTAAATCTAGGGGGGGTTTAAAACAATATGCTAGTTAGGCGATATTATTCCGTATGCTAGTTAGGCAATATTATACTGGATTAATGGTAAAACAGGATAGCAGCATGTTGGCAATCTCAGTTAATTTGTAAATGAAATGGGGACCCAGCACCTATTGTATAACACTTCAGGGTTTTAACAAGATCAGCCAGCTAACTTTGAGAGTTCACCAATTGTTAATGGGCTCTCTGTATAATGGTAAAAAATAAATTAATACAAAAAACATGAGATTAGGGAAAACGAACAAGCTGTAGTCATTAGTCATTTTTCATTTAGATTGTGTAAAGATCTCTTGTTAGGCCACAGCCTTAAGATATTTAGGTTGATTGGGGGATTTGGTTTACCTTCATGGACATGGCTTTGTAACAGCCTGTTGTTTCACTTGTGGAGTTTCATATAAAAATATGTGCACCCTGTGTTTTCTGTTATACGGAGAAGAAATTCATTGGGCTGTGGAAAAATATTTCAGGCTTACTTCAATGCCTAGAGTGAATTTCGTACTGGCTCACCAATGACAAGGCTTGTGTCTAGTCTACAAAAATCCAAATCTCAGTTCACGATGGAAACCCCCCCACACTATCCTATGTCTGACTAGATCCATGGCTTTGTTAGAGATCAGGCACATGTAGTGAATAAACCTGATTTTCTTTTCTTTTTGGACACCTGTATTTTGATCTTTCAGTTTTGTGCAAAGTGGGTCTGGCCTTCATTTACAACTACTCCTTGCTTAACATCATGGTTACATTCTTGAAAAATGTGACTTTAAGTGAAACAATGTTAAGCGAATCCAGTTATGTCACAGTAGTTACCTAGTAGCAGGTGGTGGCCAAACAACATTATAACCAAACACTGTGCAACTTTAAACGAGTATATTCTCTAACAGTTCAGCGATGTAATAACGAAACAACATTAACCGGGACGACGTTAAGTGAGGAGTACCTGTACCTCCAAAGGAAGGGGATTTGTCCACTTTACAAAAACCACCTTGTAATCCAGTTTAATTAACAGTGCCTATCTTGGAGAAATCTGGGATTGGAAAAGCACGGGATATTGCAGAAAAAAAAATCGATCTGCATTTGAGGTTCAGGGCTGAAACAGTAACTTTAATTGCTACAATGATCTGTGGTTCGATGTAGATGTAGCAAGGGGTGTTGCTGGTCAAGTTGGACATGGGCTGACCCGTACGTGGGAAGCTTGTGCAGTGCCCTGCTTTGCTTTGCTTATAGTCATTTCTAGATATTGCTCCTCATTTTAAAGACGAGATTTTTCTTAGCTAGTGTGAATACATGAAACTTCACTGATGCGACTGGCAGCACTCTGATTTCCACTATCTGAGGACCTTATTTAATGAGAACAAACGTTACCGTAACAAGACAGAATTTACTACTTTTTTGTTTTTGCGGTAAAATGTGGCTTTGCCCAGTAGTTTCCAGACTGATTCTGCATGCTCAAAAACCGGAATCTGAATGCAAAATAGATCTCTCTAATATTGATATATTTGCATTTATAAACATGCATATATCTATGTCTGTACTTATGTGCTGGTTGTATTGGGAGTATTTTCCCTCACCCTCTCTTTAAAAATGTGCACAGTTGCTATATAAAAGACCAAGGCAGATACCTACCTGCAAGCCCGTCCTTGACATTGTCGACTCGGCCTATGTGATGTCATGACCTTGTTTACCGGCGGTGGCTATTTAAGATGGCAGCCCCGCGCCGCAGCAATGTGAAGGCTGGAATGTCTGGAATCCCTCGAATGCAGTAGGCCTCCCGTTCTAAATTTACTCTCCTTATGGTTATATGGTACCTCCTCTGTGGCTGCAGCGAGAGGCCCCCTTTTTATGATTTTTTTTTTTCCGCCGTCGGGTGGTAACCCTTTGTGCACATTGCCCATTTAAAAAAAAGAAACGCTTGGTCGGTGTCTGGCTGGTACAATGTGCTCTTTTGTTGCTCCTGCTTAGGATCAAACTCTAATGAAATCCTGTAATTTAAATCTGTTCAAAACGCTGTCCTTGGATTCTTGCAGTCCAAGTGTCCCGAGCTGCTGAAAGGGGCCTCAAGCCCAAGGCATCCTTAGGAAAACATTGCTGCTTTCCTTTTAAAGCCAAGTTGACAACTTATTTGGAGACTGATGATTAGGTTTTTAAAAAGCGTCTTTTTCTGGCTTTCTTATGCTTTCACCAGATAATAAGTCTTTGCTGTGAATGACATTAACCTTGTGAAAATGTTGTTGTTTGTGCATTTGAAAATACGTTGCAATTTCTTCTTCTTCTTCTTTTTTTTTTTTTTTACAGAGGTGAAATGTGGGGCACCTACCTCATTTTGTAACTAAACATCCAGACCTTTAAAAGTGGCAATTCCCAAAGTGCCCAAATGAGTTAGGAGCACAAACCTTACTGTCAGTGCTCCTAAAACTCATTGAAAATTGCATCCTGAAAAGAATAAAGAGAATACAGAAACATTTTACTTACCCAAGGAAAATTGCTTTTTGTGGAGGGCTGTGCTGGGGAGCTGTTGACTTGTTTTAATATTTACCTTGTGATGTTATATCACAGCTCTCCAAATAAATCCCTGTTAGCTAAGTCCAATGCAACTTGAAGGTATTAGCTGGGTAGTTTTTCAGTGAGGAAGAGGACAAAACAATGTTTCTTCATTAAGTAGCTTTATCCTAATGGCAGGATGTAGCATTGTGAGTGCTGCACACATCCCTGCCATATATTAGAATAGCTAGAAACTCAATTTATATGTTAGGGTACGTGCGGTAACTTAAATCAGACGTACAGATATTTAAAAAAAAAAATGGAAAGCAACTCTTCAGGACGCTCCTCTGTTCAAAAGGAACTAACCAGCACATCTAATCATCCTCTCGTCACTAGATTTCCGACATACTGAATGGCCCCTTTACCCGACATGGCTTGTTATTGTACAGAACCGGTGGGGTAGCACATTATATGGCTGCGGAAAAAAAACCTCCTCTGCTGAGTGCTGGCTAGGACTTTACAGTGTGACTGAGCCTGACGGTGTTGCAATGCTCCTTTCTCTCCCATTTTCTCTGATACAAACATGTTCTGAGAACCCATTTGCACAGCAGCACCTAGAGACTGACTGTTCGGTGCTCGGAGACACAGTACGTAGCACTGCTATCAAGCTTTGAGATGTAAGCCGATTGCCTGTAAAGGCTAGGAATGGAGTATTTAAACCCTTTTTGTCCAGTGCTGAATAGTGGTGAATTATAGGTTGCTGGTTTCTCTCCTTTTTTGTTAAGGAAATGGGTATTGATGACTGCCAGAGGCAGGATTCTGGGTTCTGTGGACCTGAGACAACAAATCTTACGTTTGGAAAGCTGCCTTTCTGCCTATTGCAATTTTGTGGTCCCCAACACTGTAGTCTGAGTGCCCAACAATTTTTGGACTATAAGACCTTTAGCCCTTAAATGTGGCACCATGATGGAGCTGTTCCTTTGTCCCCAGAATGAGATGTACAGTAATTACTAGTGGAGTTAGCAAGGAGCCTTAAATTAAGAAGGTTGTCCTCTCGAGCTAGGAAACAGTCTGTCTCCAGAGTGTTTGATGCTCTAGCAATGGATTTGGCTAATTATACTACATTATAATATCAGGGAGTGTTGGGGGAGTGGGCAGTTATTTTTCTTTTTTCCAGCAGGCAATCAGGGATCATGCTATTGTGTGACATTAGATACCTTTGGTAACAGGTAGCATCTGAGATCATCTGAATATATGCATGTTTTTATTCAGGTATACCTAATGCTGATAACACTGCATGTTAAATGCTCCTATTCAGATATATCTAATATCTGAATCAGATAGTTTGTATACTAATAGTTTGTATACTATCAGCAAATACCTCTCAGGAATATCCTGCAGAAGTGAGTCTCATGGATTAGAATGTATGTTGTATACAAAAGTAGTGATTATTACAATTAAGGGAATTTCTCTGCGTAACATTTTAATACGTTTTTCAACAACTATGAAGACAGATATCTAACATTGAAAATAATGAATGTGAGTTGTAGAAATGACTCCACGGAGGGAGAATTCCCTGTAGGGCAGTGATTCTCAACCAGGGTTGCCATGCGATGTTATCAGTCTTAGGTGCGCAAGCATGATTCACAAGATAAAACCAGATATTTTCAATACCAATCCATAGTTTTAAAACTATTCGGCCTTATTATGTTGTTTCTGAGTTCTTTGTAACAGAAGAATGGCTCTATTATTTTTCTGTAGTAAAAAAGTGAAAACTAAGAGCTGGCACTTTCCTAACAGTGTCTTGAGTCTGACCAGGGGTGCGTTGAGTCTAAAAGGTTGTAGTGGAAGAACAGACCACGGACAGATCTGCAAAGGGAGAGGCCTTCCAACAACACTGGAAGCATCAGAGATTACTTTTTCTTATTTCTTTTTGAATAGCATGAACAGCCTGGTTGCGTTTTCAGAAGCTTGGGAGAAAAAAGATTCGAGAAGCTTTCAGCTGAGCAGGATGCTCGTCAAGCATATTCAGTCTAAAGGTAGCAAATGTGGGTTACTGCTGTATGGCCCAGTTCTGCAAAAAAAAAAAAAATTTTTCCTGGAGGGTAAAGAAGTAGAAAGATCCAGTGCTACTAATCATTCTGTTTCAGGCTCTCACAGTCTACTAGCAGATTTTTAAAAATGTATGTATATAACTTCCTTTCAAAACATGATCTTGGTGTTTTTCTTTTGTTTTATATATCCGCAGGGCAACTTTACCCCGTAGATATTGCAGGTGGCAAGCCTGAAATTTTCCAGGTAGCAGCTGAGGCCTACTATGCAAAGCTTTTGCAGGAAACTTCATCATCTCCCGACTTCTTTTCCATGCCTGGTGGCGAGAAGGTAATAATTAGCATTACATTCAAATTAAAAAGTTAGGTGATGGCAAAAAAGTAATTTTAGAGGTGATGAAGGGCACTAGCAATGGTAACCTGTTTGTGACTACAGCTAGGCTAGCGTGGTGAGGTTAAAGATCTCTTTTATGTTTCCGATTAAAATAATTTGGCTTTATTCACGTAGGCTGGCCCGAAAGTGAGTTTGGAGGAAGCTTAAAATCAGGTCTGAAATCTGCAGCTCTGCATCATCTTGTGCAGCATAGGTTGGTTTACAGGAGAAGTCAATTTTCTTTCTACTTTAGAGATTTATTCTTTCTAATGTGAGTAAACCATAATCACATGGATATTTTTTACTGTGAATCCTTTGATGAACGTTTTGAACAGAAATAGTCGACAGTTTGGATAAAGCACTTAGATGACAAGACTGAAGGGATCAGCCCTGCACTGTCTGAGACATGGTTGGCTAGGGCTTTTTCATTTTGTAACTTCAGTTGCAGGATGAAAGGTTAAGTATCTGGGCCCCTTTTTATACAACAAAAGTTCCTGTTGGACCAGCTGTGTTTATATTATTGCAGAGCGTTGAAGCAATACCATAGTTAGTGGAAATCGTTGTTTGCATGGAATACAGCAGCTCTTATGCAGTTTTGGAAAATATTTTGCAGTAATTTCCAGAAAAAATCCAGTTCATGTAGGGTAACTTTTATACAGTCTGGGAAACGAGAGTGGCTGGCTGTAGAATACTCTTTTAATGCCCTCTGGTGGACCTGGATCAGAACTGCCTGTAATCGCATAAAAACAACTGAAAATGCAGACTCGCAGAGTTAAGGATTTTACTCTGTCCTTCGCTCAACCTCTCAGGCCCGGTTGCAGTCTTATCTGATATTTAGTTAGGGGGTCAGAAGACAAGTGCGGAGCACAAAGTGGTGCATTGTACAATTGTTAGACACAATAGGTTAGATTAAGGATGGCATTTTGTTTTTACTTTGGAATTATCTCAGTTTTGTGACTTGTAATCAGACCTCAACTAAGATTTCAGATTTGTTCTTTGTACTTGATTTTGATCTCGTCTGACCTGAACATAAACTGTACAGCCAAGAAAGGGTTAAGCAGTGGGCTTATTTCTGCTGTATTTTTCTGAAGGGTAACCTGGAATATAAAAATTGATATTTTGTAATTAAAATGAACTGCATTATAAAAAGAACAGTAGCCTTCTGAGCTAACAACCACTGTTGCACCTCATTTGGGATTTCATAGATTTCATATATTTTCATAGACATTAGGGCTGGAAGGGACCTTGCAAGATCATCGGGTCCAGCCCCCTGCCCAAGGGGCAGGAAGTCAGCGGGGTCAGATGACCCCAGCAAGGTGAGCATCCAGATGTTTTGTGAATGTATCCAGAGTAGGTGCTTGCACCACTTCTGCAGGGAGTCTATTCCAGACTCTGGAGACTAGGATGGTAAAGAAGTTTTTCCTTATGTTCAGTCTAAAATGGTCTTCCAGCAGTTTGTGACCATTAGACCTTGTCTTCCCTTGGGGTGCCCTGCTGAACAGGCATTCTCCCAGATCTGGATGCACACCCCTGATGTACTTATAGGCTGCCACCAAGTCCCCCGTGAACCTGCACTTCTCCAGGTTGAAGAGTCCCGTGCATCTCAGCCTCTCCTGTAAAGCCTGCTCTCTTGACCTCTAATCATGCATGTGGCTCTCCTCTGGACTCCCCAGAGCCTCTCCACGTCCTTTCTAAATTGTGGAGCCCAGAATTGGATGCAGTATTCCAGCTGCGGCCTCACCAAGGCTGAGTAGAGCGGGAGAATGATTTCTTGGGTCTTACTTGAGATGCATCGGTAGATGCAAGCCAGAGTTTTATTTTCTTTGCTGATTGTGGCATCGCATTGGTGGCTCATGTTCATCTTGTGGTCAATCGTGACCCCCAAGTCATGACCCCCAAGTCAGTCGTGACCCACAAGTGAGTGTAGCATTGCCGAGCCTATAAGTATGATGTGGGTTCTCCTCCCCCAAGGTGGAGCACCTTGCAATTCTCTGTGTTGGATGTCATCAGGTTTTGATCCGCCCACCTTGCGAGCCTGTCCAGGTCAGCCTGAATCCCCAGCCTGTCCTCTAGCATGACCACACTGCGCCATAATTTGGTAACACACACCTGAAAATTTAGAGGTG